GTTTCCAAAGTGATGCCATGGGACACGTCTTCTCACAGCCCGTGAAATGGCAATTGCACTTTCCAAGTTGCATCTTCTTACAACAAAATCTCAACAAAAATTGAGTATCTCGCTTTGTTTCGATTGGGTACATGATGATGGTGGTGGTGGTGGTGATGGTGATGGTGGTGATGATGATGATGATGGTGATGATGGTGGTGATGATGATGATGGTGGTGATGGTGGTGATGGTGGTTATGATGCTGATGGTGATGATGGTGGTGATGGTTGTGATGCTGATGGTGATGATGGTGGTAATGGTGATGGTGGTGATGATGGTGGTGATGCTGATGGTGATGCTGATGCTGATGGTGGTGATGATGCTGATGGTGATGATGATGGTGATGGTGATGGTGATGGTGACAGTGATAAGAAAGAGGAGGAGAGGTTTCTAGTGAGCACTCACAATAGCCTAGGGCTGGCTTCATAGCTCACCACTGCATTTGAAACCAGTGGCCTCCCCCGAGGTCCACTTCTGTCCACTCCACCAGCGGCTCTCCAAGTTGCGCGCGCAGCAGAGTCCCTGGGGGCTGCCAGGGCCCCTTCCTCAGACTTACCGATTCCATAGGTCGGGGGCGGAGCCTGGGAATTTGCATCCCTAACAGCTTCCTAAGTGGTGCTGAGCCTGTTGGTCTGGGCCTCACACTTTGAAAACCAGTGTCCTGAACTGTTTTTATCTGTGTTTGTGACGTAACTACAAACCCACTGGGCACAAGAGTGACTGAGAAAGAACTATTTTTGAGTCCTTCCCACAGCCTTTGTTTTTCATATTGTTCTTTGCCTTTCTGTGAAGGCCCTGAAACGCTTTGAGATGGTGATGAGTTTGGAGAAAGGGGTGATAGCAGATTGGCTCTCTGACGCCTAAGACTGAAGCTCACCATGTTACCTGTGATCAGCTGTCTCCCTCCCCTCTCTTCCGCCTCCCTGCTCAGTTCTCTCTTCTCTCAAATACTCATACTTCCCACCGAGCACTTGAAATCCCCTGGCAAGTCCCAGAGGCGAAAGAGCCTCCACGAATTCATTTTCCACAGAGGCCGTTCCTGCTGTTGGTTCCGGACACCTGAGCGGTACCCCTTGAGCACACAGGAGGGGAGGTAGCAGTCTTAATTACAGGAAGGCGTTTCCGGTTTGAGAGCTGGCTTACTTTTAGAGTCATATTTCAGAGTCATTTGGGTAGCTTGAATTTGTGGCTTAATTTTTGTTCAATGTTTTTGGCATTAAACCTTCTTTCATGTGGAGCGACCTGTAATGAGGGGCTGAAGATACCATAATGTGACCTCACTATCCCCAGGGGTGGGGAACGTCCGGCCCGTGGGCCGTGTAAGGCACGTAAAATCATTAGGTCTGGCCCTGCCCAGGCGTTAGGGGTGAGTTAATGAGACGTTTGACCAAACAGAGCAGGCTAATTTGTAAGTTGATCATTTTGTGTGGCCTGCGGATGTTGTTATAAATATCCACATGGCCCAAGGTTCCCCACCCCTGGCCTAGTCGGCCACTCCACCCGGTGGCGGGCTCTCCGCATCCTCTACCATCTACTCCCGTGACTCGATGGCCTCAGAAACCCCTTAGGAATGTCCCGCGGGAGGCTCACCCTGGTCAGCTTTGTGGGCCAGGTTAGTAGCTAAAACATTTACTAAGAGAGTGAAGAGAACGGCCATTTCTTTTTTCTTTTTGGCCAAAGAGATAACCAAACTCCTCCCAACTCTCTCTCTCGGTTTAGTAAACTTGTCCTCACATTTGTCACAGTGCCTGAAAAGAAGGGTCTTGTCATGTTCCCTCCATATCAAAAGGTCACATCTGCAAAGCCCACTTTTTCTTGGCTGTGGGGGGGTCCCAAGAAGGGGCCGCATGGTGGGCTGTGAGAGGCGGCCTGTTATCTCATTTACGTGCGTGGGATTCACTTAGTCTTTCCCTCCGGTTTCCTATCCTATCCTTCTCCTTCATACATTTCTCTCTGGCTCACAGCTGAGAGAGGAGCGGAGGCCTTCCATCCGCTCAGCTCCCCACTCTCTCATTCGCAGTGACACCTGGG